GATGATGATGATCATCATTCATCATCATCATCATCATCATTATCATCATCATCATCATCATCATCATCATCATCTTCTTCTTCTTCTTCTTCATCATCATCATCATCATCACCACCACCATCATCATCATCAACCAACATGCGGCATCATCAGCAAAATATAATCAACAGTATCATACTTATAATAATTACGATATAATCAACACAGCATCATTAAAAACGCGACTGTTACAATAGTATAAACAAATTATTAACAAAACACAGCATCACCAACACAACGTTATTCTACGATTATACATTAGACACTCGCTTTTATTTTTCTCAAAAATCTAGGTGGACGGCTGCCTCACGCCTTCCTGATTCTACTACCATTGCTAATGGCATGAGCATGCGTGTAATATACACACACACACGTTTACAGTAGCATACATAATATGTCCATGCAAATAGTTGTTGATCTTGAAGATAAGGTCAACTAATCATTTGCCTTAACTGTTCCTACGCGATGTGTAGATGCATGGGTGTGCAAAGCCACACGGTCAGTTTAGCGGCAATGACCTTGATGCGCGTTCGAACTACAGTGATTGGTACAGGTTTACGTTGCAGCCGCGCATGCGCAGTATGTTTGCGCGGATGGCTTCTGTGGTCCCAGCACATATCTCTCACGCGGGACCCGCAGACGCACTCAGTGACCAACCGACAGCCGACCGAGTGACATCTATATACATACCCGTACAGGTAAGAAAGGTAGATATAGGGACATTATAGTTAATGGTTTTGTACTATCATATAGAGACATGCTACGGTTCCCGTGAGTGAATAGAGAGCAAATATTTTGGTAACTGTCTATTGGGGTGGGGGTGATAAGGTATGCATAGTTTGGTTTCCAGATACGGTGGCGATACGTAAACGAGTACTAAATACTGTTAGTTTTGTTCGTTCTGCCGAGAGCATAGACATGACTACAATAAAGGGTTTCCTATGAAACTATACTGGTAAAATTCATGTAACGCGAGTCCGACAGAAACCTCTATTAAATACTAGCGCGTCGCGTTGTCTCATCTTGGTTAGACAAACTGTTTACAGGGCTGACGCATTTAAACGCGCTAACCTATTTAATTGTCTCGGAGCTCAATATTGGTGTGAGTTTCACCAACCGATAACCAACAATTATATAACTGTCCAACAATCTTATTGCGCGGTATATATCGGATAAAAAGCTAGTGCTGCATTGCTCTTACCTTGGAAAACGCGTTCTTATTTCATTTGTGTTTCGAACAAAGAAAGCGCGATATCTTTATATATATACTTTATTTTTTACTTTTTTTTATTATTCTTTATATGTGTAAATATTACATCATTCCGTCCGTGCAAGGGCAATCAAGCAGCATCGCAGCTAGAGGTGCCGGAGTATGAGCGTGAACGGTGATACTCGTCACATAACAGGATCCGACTCAAAAATGGGCATGGACGAGAGCAGAACGACATTCACCGGCCTGGTGAGTTAATTCTCACGCGCTGATGTACAGAAATGTTTCACACCTCGCCAGCGTCAAAACGTTTGGTAGAACCTCTTATTTCCACGCCGTAATACTACTCGCTTCATTGTGATTCTTACCATTTATTTTGAAAATTGTTGATTGAATTGTACGCGAAGATTCGTAAACCACCAATAGCTCGTAAAATCTGCATCGGTCGTGTCGTTTTCACAGGCTATCGTGGCGGCGGTGGCCTTAGTTGCTATTGTATTGGCAGCAGTTGCTTTATCACGTAACCCAACCACCAACATTAGCCTCGGCGAAAGTTCCAGCCAAGATCAAGGTGAGCTTTTCGCTAGAAGGAATAAACCGACTTTGCTGTCAATTCCCAAAATATATTATCAGTATGATAACTGAATCTAATCGATTGCGTTAGAAAATAATCAATATATTAATCGGATCGATCGTGTTTCTAATATTCAGCTGGCATGTCAAGCGCGCTGACAGGCACATCGGGACTTAAGAAAAAATGGCTGTTCGCCATCGGTCACGACTATTCACCATTCGAATACGTGTAAGTTCACATTAGTCGGCACAACTCAGTCGATTCCGCATCTTCATTTAACCTCGACTGCATTACCCACGTACCTAACGTACCATCTTAAGATACAATATTAGTCGATTATTATCTTAAGATGGTAATCTTTTCGGCGTTGCATCTGTGAAACTAAGGTTGCCCAGATCAGGGTGGTTCACCTCAATAACAATGAAAATTTGCTATGAAGAAGCTAGTCAATACCGCGCGGTGTATTCGAGACTAGAGGTAATTTCCAAACGGTAACGTCTTGTTCTCGCGATTATTTCAGCAACGAGCAGGGATACACTGATGGGTTCAACAAAGACCTTATCAGCGCAGGTATTCACTTCTAATTTCGACATGGAATATCAAGGAAATACGAAGCGTATAAAATGAGAACATGCATATACCTTCTCGTGAAGCGATTTTCGCAGTGTTTGACATGGTGTATTTTTTACGTCGCTGCAGTGTGCCAGCAAGCTGGAATGCAATGTTCTACAGTCTACTTGGAGTACCCGCAATGCTGGAATGGCATTCCTGGGAAACACCCCGTTCCCGGGCCTGGTACGTTATTATAGCAACAATCCCTCACGAATTATTGCGACAACGTCGGGTGCTTACATAGCCCCACACGATTTCTTCATCTACAGCCGGATGAGGATTTGCAAACACGCAGCAACTGTGTGGTTCCGTATGTGGCAGCGTAACGGACGCTGGCAATGGATGTCAGCGCGTTCCACGAAGTTCCACGTTCATATCGGATAATCGGAGTAGTTATAGATGTTTAGACCTTGCACCTATGTATTCTTAAAACATTCCGACATTATGTTCGACATTATTCGAACATTATGTTGTTCCGACGAAATTAGCTACTCTATAAAATGACGGAACAGCCCAATTTTGGTGTGTACACAACCAAAACCGTTACACCGTCTGTACCGTATGAAGCCGAGCCATCCCGCGAGAACCGTACGGGGTTTTCTAGGTATGTCGAGTGAAAGTGTCCACGTACGTGATCGCGAACACATAATGAATAATCGAGTCTGCGTTGCAGCGTTGATGGATAACTGGGTGGACGCGTGCACGGGATGGTACGTGTCACAGGAGAGACTCAACAGCATAGCCTACTCGACAGCATTCATGAAGAGTATTGAGGCAAACTTCCTCGTCAAGAAGAGCGACAACAGCTTCAACCCGAACGACCTCCGCGGCAGAACCGTCGGTCAGTTCACGAAGACCAGCGCCATGTTTGCACGCGAGGCATCCCCTAAAACCGAGATTCCACGATTTCACAACATTAGCGGCTAAATTTTGTGGTTCGGTTTATGGTGAATGCCAAATAAGGCTGCTTTTAGACAAACTTTGACGGTTGGCAGCAATCTTGATGCCCATTTTTCTTCGGCAGGTTTTCTAGACGGCTGGGTTAACGATGAAAAGTGTTTGCTACGACAGAATAACATCGCGAACAATGATCTGGCGGTGGCCCAAGTAAAACATTACACGCACTCAGGGGAGTCTTACAAAGCCCTCGACAACAACGAGGTACGCACTATACACTGCGTGCGTGTGCGCTTGTGCGCGCGTGAGTCCGTGCGAGCCCGTGTGCCCGTGTGCGCTCCGTACGCGCGTGTACAGCAGTAGGCGCATATTTCAGTCTGTTCGCTTGTATTTCTGTGCGTACCCGGCTACCATAGGTTTTGTTCGCTTGTATTTCTGTGCGTACCCGGCTACCATAGGTTACTTTATTATGTTTGAGCGGAACCGCAGTAGTTGGCTGTAGGGATGTCACAATTAACAGTTCTGTGTGTCACTGTATAGATTGCGGGACTCTTCCATTCCCTTGACGCGACCGTCGATCTGAACAAGTACAAATGGGTCGGAGCGCGCTACTCGTGCATGATCAAAGGTCTCTCCATGATGACAAAGAAGGACAGCTTACTCGCACAGTGGTGGGACCCGGCGTTCAACATGGTGAAGGAGAAAGGCATCTACAACCAAATATGCAAAGAGGCGCCGAAAAAGCACGGTCAGTATTCGTCTTTTTTGTCAGTTTCGGCTCCAATCGTAGAGCGTATCGGGGGCTCTGTAACTGTGTTGCTTTGGTCTCTGTAACAGTGTTTGCGGGGCAGGCTCATATATGGAAATCCGAGGGGCAACCCTGAAGGACATTTGCGAAATTATATACTACTGGCAACATTTTAGTAGTTTAATGACGTGTTATTTTTGGAGAAGAGAGAACACTACGATACGGTACACACACACTACTATAACTATTTCTCATGTTTTGTTTTTTTCAGCTGGGAATGAAGTGGACATTGAGTTGGACTGTTTGGATTAAAGCTGCCACGCACAGTGCCATCTGGCGGCGAGCGTACAAGATTAGCAGCAATTGATTTAACGATTGATAATAATTTTCCTTGGCTATGCCAACGGGATGTGTGGATAATTAACCTATATTAGATTTACGGTTAAAAGACTGCATCAAAGTATTTATTAAAGCTAGAAATTGTGAGCTAGGAGCTGTGAAGCTAACGTGATAAATTATGACAGATAGATTGTAGAGGATATTCGACTGCAAGGTGCCTGTAGCGCACGAACCCTAGCTGGCAATGCCACGCCGTATGTTTCAACGTGTACATTAAAAAAATAATATGAGTAAAATACAGGTTGAAAATGCATCGCGTACAATTTAACAGTCAAATATTTGTGCATATTTTGTAAACGATTTATTTAATAAAGCAATCGTCTGTCACCGACAATTCTTTTTTGTTGTCATCAACAGAACGCATCAACGCAACACCCGCAACATCGTCGTCACAACACCAACACTGCAACCTAACAACCCCATCTTCACACCATCGTCATCATACCACAGACCAAATCATCGTGTACGTAAGGATCAAAATTCGGCTAACGCTCCATTAGGAGTGTTCCCAACTTTGATATCATTAATGATTAATGATTAATGATT